TTCGCTATCAAAATGTGCCTATTATTGTTGAAGAGTTATAACATCAGTAGAGAATTCTAAATGATAAAAGTAATTCCCAAAGTAAGCCCATAAGTAAATCGTATATTCTGTTGACAACCGCATCAACAGAGGTAGATGATATAGGGCATGAATTTGAACACTTGATAAGGAGCTAGTGACTCCATTTGAGCATTTCAGCCATCTGATGTTGAAGAATCCGATTCAACTGGTTACCCAATCTCGACATCGTAAATCACTACTGTTGCATTCTTCCTTACGAAGTACATCTTGACCACTGGATTTCACTGGGCTTAGCAGTTGTAAAGAAATATATTCCCAAAAACGTCAGGGCCAAATGTACAGAAGTAGAAATTACCGGAGACTTCTAGCACCCCGTAGATTTGTTCACCAGCCTTAATCGGTAAAAAAATAGACTGACCAACGTATTCCGACTTATCTCTAAGTGAGAATTTAGTCGTTAGGAGTTTATCATTCTACTAGCATTATAGCCAAACATGGACTTACAGATACTGATAAGTGGTAAAGCAGGTAGGCCTGCATTAATCAGACGAAAGTTATATAAGCGAAATAAGTGTTTGGTTGATATCCTTGAACAAATTTCGGGACTGACGCATATGTCCCAGGTATATAATGTAACTGTATTTTATTGCATAGTATTCTAACCTACCTCTTTTGTGAGCCATTCAGATATGGTGAATCATTCTCGTAAGTTGTTCTCATTTTTGTTCATTCTCATGCAAATTCGTTAATCACTTATCAAGTGGTAAATTCCCGTCCTAACAGCTATACTCAGCTTGGGAGGTCGTTGTTCAGTGTTAAACTTTTCTCTACAATCCCTTTGTAAATATGATCATATTTATGAGTTCACATTTTTATATTAAATATCAATCCTAGCTAAAATACAAATTGAGGAATACAAGTATCCCAATACCATTGTTCCAGGGAATCGATGGGTCCTGCGAGTGGATAGCTGTCGATATGAGTAAGCGAAATCAAACTGAATACATTTTATTTCGTATTTCTGATGAGCCTACAAAAATTTAAGAAATCAATCCACCAGTAGGTAATTTATTCTACATCTAGAATATTTAAAATATATTATATGATCAGTAAATAGTTTAACCAGTTCAAATACTGAATAATAGTGAGTTCTATTAGTATTATGACGATCTGTTATAAGCAACGTAGCACCCAAAGTAATTCAGCGTTATAGGCAAAGATGGATGATGTCTAGCAGTGGAATCCAGGGCGCGTTTCGTCCTACTTGGGATTCGTCAGCTGGATATACCTGCATCCCAGAGTTGATGTTCACTCGCCCCAAATGTCATCGCACTATTCTCTTAGCTACTGAGTCCAGATGGCCACTAGCTTGTGCAATGGGGTGAAATTTTAATTCATTTTTGTATTGATCGTTTAAATCTTCCTATTTATGTTTAGAACTGCAATTGATCAGTCTCCTATTGGCATATGTGCGGATTGGCTCGATATTGCCTTAAATCTCTCTGTTTATAATGCTTGTGATTTAATGAAATATCGAGGTAATCCTCACAGGATGCACATATACCAATAGGAGACTGGTCAATTGCAGTCCTAAACATCAATAGGAAGATTCAAACAACCAACACAAAAATGAATTAATTACGCACTAGTTTGAATTGTCATATTTCATGTCAGTAGACACCGATGGGAAATCACAAAGGTAGAAATTAAAGGAGTCAAAATACTATCATCCAGTATAGTTTGGGAAAAATAAGTCCGAAGAATGATAAGTACGAGGTAATATTGAAACCTAAGATTTGAAGGACGACGATTAAGAGTGAATACATTTACGCCAGTGTGACCTATCTCAAGCTATATCACATCTATCACGATTATAATTAGATAATTTTGCAAAAAAAGATATAGTTCGTAGACTTTTTGAACACAATCTCGTACTCTTTGTTTTAAAGTATCTTTTTTCATTGTATAACAGTAGATGATGTACACATGTACTGGATTGTAATAAATAATGATGGTTTTGAATCTAACCAACGTGAAGATTGGTGACTAAAAAGGTACACCAAACTATCCAACTTCGTCCTCTCAAGAACACAAAATGCCTTTTTTGTCATGACCGACGAGATATTAAAATAAATAGTATTCAAATATGTATGTGGTGAGATTCTCTTGAAATTAATCCGATTTATTGTATCACCGTCATCAGTAGCTACTTGAATATTTAAATATCATGCGTAAATCGTACTTTTTTGGAGTGTACAGTTGCACTCGTCCTCCGTCATGGTTTTTAGTTATTCTTAATCTGTTTAGTTGTCGGAAGTAGTCAGTAGAAATCCATAGACCTGGGTTCCATGCTAGTTGGCACTCGTCATCTGGGCATACTTGTAATTTTAGGAGGACTGGTGTTCATTGTGGGATTTAAACCCGTGTCACTTAATTCCCTAGTCTGCAATGTTACTATCGAGAACTGTACAATTAATTGACCACCGATTAGTAATATACGTTTGTCTAGTCCTTTAATGTTAATCGAATTATGTCGATAAAGTTGTAATGTGGTCACTAGTCTAACTGACTCGACATTGCATACACTATGATCTGATGTTACGTGATTTTAGGAAGTCATTCCCGAATTTCCATCTTTCAGATGCATTCGCTCCTTTCGAACCGTATTATTCACGCTTATATATTCACTGTTCTAAATACTATTTACTATCCTACGCTTCTCATCTTGCTGATTACTTTATCCTCTATGCTGACTTCGTAGGATGTGACAACTTGGACCGATGCACCCCCTGCATCAATAATGACTGAATCAAAGGAAATCCCATAATTAGTGTAATTACATTCCAGCCCTGGAAATAGAACACCTTACCTGACAGATTCCTATCGCCGGCGATGAGGCCCTAAATATACGAGGCTAGCACAGCTAAAAATATCAAAGGGTCGTGCATGACCGCCCTCAAGCGGTTGTCCTCTAAGCTCTACAACCACACTTTTGGGTCGTCGCGACCACTTCTAACTCAGCAGCTTTTTCAGGTCCCTAAAGAAGCACCCTTTTTGGTGGGGCAATCGGGAAATGGCAACCACTCTAACAGCACTGGAAATCACTTAATGATTCGTGTCTTTGTAAAGTTGGTGATGATAACTGCATATTAACCTTTTATCTTTGTGTCTTCTTTTCAGGCACCATTTTTCTTCATTTATTTCTACCTTCTACAAGATTAAAGTACGATTTAGAATCACTCTGGTGCGCTGGTCCACGATATGATGACCAACTTTTTCAGAAAAACACAGCAGGATTACCAAATAGAAACTTTAATTGGGAACAATTATTATCGGAAATTCAACAGGCCAAACAATGTTGACCGAAATTGAGAGGAAAACTTTACAAATATACGTGTATATCCACTTTTGATCATATTTCAAATTAGGCAAAAACTCTAGATGTATTCGATGAAGTTTCTAGCGAACTTTTATTTTATTAATTGCTATCAATATCTCGTCAGAGTATTTAATTTTTCTTTTCGGATTAAAGACCCAGTATCCTTGTGATGTGATCAATAGGTTGTCTTCCATGAAAACTACTATTTCCTAAAATGATCATTCAATTTGAGTGAGGAATATAGTGAAAAGGTTTTTTTAATATCACAATGAGAATCCGTTGATATTTTTTCTCCTAAGAAATTGCTTCGTCAATACTACTAACTGTAAACTGCTTCTGATCCGTAAGGAATGGCTAATGCATATCGACCACTTGAATCAATTAAGGTAATCAAACCTGTTATCCACGGACCAGTCACTGATGAAATCGTAGGCGGGATTGATTCAGAGATTTTAATTGTTCAATGACAAATTCGGCTAGTGTAACGTCACCTATAGTTGAGACATTGCAGGTGAGGATAAGTAAACTGCATATCAATTAAAGTATGGAGGGGATAACGTGGGGCTTGGCTGCAGTATAATGAAGATTGTTAGCTTGGGATGGATATGATGAATACAGTGTTCAAAGTAAGTCGCGTACATTCACAAAATTTATTTTAACACATAGATATTGGTACAAGGAGGCACCAAATACACGTGCGCCACACAAATCTCATTCGATATGTGTGTGAGGGCTGTGATACTGCCCGGGTGCCCAAACCGAAGCAGGTGGTTTTCTTAGGGAGCCTTCTACTTGAAGGTCTGACCCACAAGGCAGTGGAGCATCGTGAGGAGATGCAGTCCCATGGAAGCCGGTGACCAACGATTGGTTCGTACGCCATTTGTTCCCGCAGGATACTGGAGCCCATGTGCACCATTGGTTTGTGATCCGGTTAAAGCGCCGGACATTCGCTTTTCATCCTCTCATTTTCGTAAACAACACCCCCGCCACGAGAAGGCAATGAGTAGGACTTCCCTGGCAGAGGCTATATACTCGTGACCATGTGAGATCATTTCGAGAGGGAGAGCGGAACTCTCCCTACTCTCGGCCGTATCAGGGCATTTGGGGGCTCAGGGTACAATAATTTAGAGCGAATTTGTACTGATGGACATTTCCGATTAACTAATCAAGTAACATTAAACCACACAATTATTAATTGCTGATTTAACCTAGTTTTCAAAGTGTAACATCATTTTAGCTGACGTCAAACAGATAGTGTAGATCGACTTCAAACGACAATGTCTTAAAGTTGACATCAGGAACATGGATTATGTTATACTATGTCTGCTCGTTCGAATATCGGTTTAGTTAGGACTATTAATCAATAAGCCATGACTATGCTTTGTCTGTGAGGAATTTTTCACACAAATTGTATTACTATTCTTGGTGCGGCTCCGTTCTGTGAACTGATGATGTATCTAAAAACAATGCAAGCTTCATAATCAAAACACCGAGTACAGAGAATGCAACTTCAAAATCATCTAACCGAGCTACAAATATTTCCCACCATTTTGTTATTAATTTTCTTGAACAGCTAAGTGTGTAGTATAACACATAAATGTATACAAGGTTATTAAAATGTATTGTGGTTTGAGTACAGTTATTCATGTTTGAGAATTTGAAAAATTAACAAGTAATATTATTTATTCACAACTATTATACAAAATTCACAATGTAAATAACTCGAAATACAAAAATATTAATATTATACACCTCAGTGTTTATTTCTCGTCTACTAAAAATCATATCTTAAATAATTCTCTATTCCATTTGAATCCAATTATTTCAGAGGTTGTTTTTTTCTTGAAGAAATATGGACGATAGCATGTATCATCATGTTGATACTAATCAAAACGATGTAAACTTTTGCATATGGTTATACATTATTTCCGCTCTCTGATGATATTCAAAAGAAATTGTTGAATTGTATTATGTTCTTACCAATGTAGCGTAAAAACAAAAATCTGGATTTAATGATTATGAATGTGTTATTGTTGTCAACATAATATCAAGTCATGATCATCTCTTACCACTGGGAGTTGATGGGGATAACATAAAGTCCATGGATAACTTTTCAAATGGTTGTATTCTAGTTTTACAAATAAACTTTTTGATAGCATTCTAAAAAAAATAAATATATGTTAGTAATAGGAGGCTTATGGATATTGTTTAGTGCGAAGAATGATTTTAGCTAGATACAACTGAAAAACAGAGGATATTGAACAGCTGTCTCATTTTAGTGGATAATGTTGGGAAGACAATCATCCTCATTGTTCTCTCCCCTTTCGCTTTCGATGGTCGTCTAGATTAAGTCCATCTATGATGTGAATTACGGGTGAAAATGGTTCTAAGGATGAAATTAGGATCATTTTAAGTGAGATGTGTTGTATTTACACAACTATGTAGTCATTTAAAGCGGTAAAGAGCACTTGAACCAGATACCAATAAATTGCTGGTCTGATACTTTACAAGCTGAAACATACGAAAAGACCAACTGTTAGACATATTGCCATTGTATTTTAACCGTAAGTAACTTGAATTAGAAGCTTCAATGTCTGGTAATTCGATACAACCTCACGGGCTGATTTTATTTCAGTCCCTCAAACTTTACACAGTGGAGGTCTGACACTGTTTATGATTGATTGAGAAGCAATAGTTTGTTGACATTAAAGCAATTAGGATCTAACTGATAATTTGTTTGTTTGGAACCTGTATCTACTTCAATTTGAGCAGCTGAGTATCATTAGCTTTGACAGATAGCGTAAATGGCCTACGTAATGATTGATTTGTTCACAAATTAATTCTGATATGACGTACACTTAAAGAATATTAGTCAACAAATACGTATTCCCTAAATAATCATTACCAGTATCCGTATGACCAAGCAGAACGAGTTAGCAAGCAGTACCACATATGTTTAGAAAGTATCTGGAAATTGTCTCTGTGACATTTCATTTTAGTAAGATATTTGGAATGATGCAACTCTACAGGTAGGGATCACATGCGGATCTGTGGCACAAATACTACATTTTCAACCAATGAATTTTAAGTTCGAATATTATTTCAACTACTTGGAGGTTCAAACAGTTGTGTAACACGACAATACCTCGTAGAATAATTATGGTTGTACAAATTAAATTCTACTTATTTATTGCGACTCTTTGACATTCACTTTAGTAGGTATATCAAGTGTCAACTAGTCTTGAAGGAATACAAACAGTGGTTCTAATCTTGTATTATACATTCGAAAACATAAATCAAACCAAATCTCTTCAATCTTTGGATTTATCAGGATGATGTTCTAACAGCCTTACTCAGAGCATACACATTCACAATCCTATTTTTGTTTTAATAGATTAAAAAATCATTATATGAACTGAGTTAACAATTTACATATGGATTTTATTGGGAGATTTAGTTTATACAAAGTAAATCGTTATACCACGTAACAATTCACTGGTTTGATCTGTTGACTAATATGTTCAAAATGCGATATTCCCAGTCACTTGGTATTTCAATTTCTGTCTTTATACCGTTGGTAGTTGTTGAATTGACGGTGTTTTAATTGAATGGTTATGTGGAGTTACTCAGAATGATAACATTTAACCAAGTTATAAGTCTCATTCAATAATGTCTACGTGATAGAAATTAATTGAAAACCTACAAGCCCGTCCCTAAGAATTTAGAGGCGGAATTATTTTTAGTCTCCAGTCAAGTTATTTAATTTGTTTACCTTTGAAGAGTTAGTCGCTAACATCAATAAAAATAAATTTCTATAATCATGTAACACTAGATGATCGAATGAAAAAACCTTTGGTTATATGATGTAACTAATAAAATAACTTTTCCCAGCGAACAACCACTACAATACTCGCCAATCGGTGTAGTTGAATTTCATTTATTCTCATTGTGGTCAATGAAGTGCTTGGTCAAAAGTATGTACTACTTCTAATATTTAGCTAAGTACTAACCTATATAAAGTTTTATTTTATTAGCAAACCAAAAATAAATTATAGTAATAATGAAATTATAAAATGGACTTAGAACAAACGAATATATAGATACATTGCGTTGAGGTAAGCCTAGTTTAACTTACTATCATTCTAATATCTACTGTACTTTGTGTAGTACACCAACGTCTACATGCAGACGGTTGCATTCGAAGTAAATGGTCGGCGCCTCCAATCACTAATAAATCAAAAGTTGGTGAGATCGAATTCAATTCATCATTATCATCATGAACAACAGTAGTAGTATTAGTAGCAGTGATGCTAGATGATCCATTGATTTTGTGTCGAAATTGGTTAGTATAATTCATATGAATTAAATTATCATTGTCATTATTATCGATTCGAGAAGTTAGTGGACGTTGTCTTCGTCTAGCATTGAATAATCTCTTTCGAAATTCAATTGCTTCTTTATAACCACCAAGTCGACTTCTAGCGCCTATGATAAATAATATTGGTAAAGCTGGTATCGATAGGAGTGGATCATTCAATTCACCTCGTTTACCTCTTAAACCAATTAATGGTAAACCGACACAAATAATTCCATTTATACTTGTTCGATTAGTATAATTATTTTCTGAACGAGAATTATTTAACGAGAGTATATGTATAACAGATAATAACATAAGTAACGAACCAACACCGAAGCTAACTAGATAAATAGATTCATTTTTGTATTCATCAAGCTGTAAAAATAAAAGAAAGCAACACCTAACAATAAAAATCCATTAGAAGGGATCTTGTAGAGATTAGTTTAATCTATAGGTTGTATTTGATACAGATTGATTTTTCATAGTATGAAACTTCCTAACGCTGCACATCAGTGAGCCTGCCGTAGATCAGAACCCGAGCCTTTCGGGTTGTCATGACTGTAAGGTTAGTCGGTATCCCAAGAGAAGATCCGTTAATGAGAAACCTGAAATATTTCTCTACCCTAAGTATACTATTCCAGTTATCTCATAATATTATGAGCTTTGACTGGCAGGTTAACCTTGAGTTGAGACAGAATAATTTTAACTCTTCTCCGCCAAAAATGTATACCTTTCTTCTGACTCAGTCTTCCGTCCGATAATGGAATACATCATGGAGTTGTGGAGTATTATATCTTATGTACATCAACTCATACAATAATATGGACTAATTTCCTCCTCCCACAACAACATGAATATGAACTTACAATCTAAGCATTGCTACGCCAAAAGTGGAAGGGAACAGAAGATGGTGAATGGATAATTGGTAATAATGAGGGAGTAGTAAGACGCATAATATTAGTTAACATATCTATTGGAAGCTTACAATCATTAAAGTTAAATACAATAATACAGTTGTTTAATAAGTGAAAAATACAAATAGTAACCCGAAAATTAGTCCCCAAAGTTATACTTTCTTTACTATTTGTTCCACCATAACACAGGTCATGCAGTAAAACACCGGGTCGACATCTAATATAACAGTTCTAACACCAATGAATTCTCAGTAGTTGTGCTACATTACAAACTGATTACAGTTAGGATTGCAATATTGGATACTGAATTGGATATCCTAATGGCTTAACGTTCCATGCAAAGCTTGAAAGTCTTGAGATCGATCCTTGGCAACATAGCTGGTGTTTACTATTCAGGAATACAATACTAAGACGAAGCAGTTGCTTATTGCTCCCTCGTTTCCTAAACTGCCTCAACTGAGATCAATCCGTGACAAAGATGACCCTATAGAAGAACTATTAACAAGTTAACATCATTTTTGAAGAGGAAGCACGGGTATGGCTTCTTAGGAGGGAAAAATATAATCGAAATTGAAAAATCTTAACAATCAGATTAAAGAAAATAACTTATTTGTTCGTCTATTAATTTAGAGCGATCTCTTAGTTTTGTTCATATAAAATACTTCCAGTCACAATGAAATATTCTGTTGGAGGAAGACAATGTTTACTATACAAAATACTTTATCATAGAGATACAAATTTTGTTTACCATGGCATGTTTACATCATTTTAACAAGTTTAAATGTATTGTTTGCTGTTGTTTAACAATCCTAGTATTGCACTGCCTATAATAATTTGTTTGTTTGTTGATTAGAAATTTGTACGATATGAACATTTTTGTTTTATCGGCAGTTGTTAAGGCAAGACATTAAAAAGTTACAATTTGTGGAAGGCTTTATCCTCGGAAGTTCTTAAAGTAGAAATAGGCAAGACTATATTCTACCTATGAATTTAAAAGAACCAATCGGATATAAGACAGTGTTTACCGGATTTTGTGCGAAATTGAAAACGTGGGGGATAACAAAGAATAGGATAAGTGTAACTTATACGTTTATCGATGTTCAGCATGTGTCCGTTATCATGCATTTCCGGTTATTTTTCTGTACATCTACTAGTGAATGACTTAAAATTGTCACACAAAAAAAACCAAACAAATTTCATGCGAACACATTGTGAATTTATCATGGTGCGTAAGCCAAATTAAAAAGAAATACGCGCCTTTGACATAGACTGCACCTGAACGTAAATGATGCTTTTTAAGTAATAATCAAGTGTTTTTATGGTCAAAAAGTATTCTCAAACTCTAAATATATTATATCATTAACACCTGATTCTATAACTTCCAACCTTAACAATTGTAAACTTGACTACTGAATCTAGTCGGACTCCTAATTTTTAAACTTAACTTTTATTTTTTTCATAAATAAAAATAATATATTTGTAATATCCCAATGAGTAGAAAATTGGATTTTCTGACGTTTCGTGACTTAGTGTAAGTCACTTCTTCAGAGAACAAATAACCAAATTAAAATTCATCCAAGTTTTAATAGTACAACGGAACAATGCAAGAATAATTATTATTCTTGCATTGTTCCGTTGTACTATTAAAACTTGGATGAATTTTAATTTGGTTATTTGTTCTCTGAAGAAGTGACTTACACTAAGTCACGAAACGTCAGAAAATCCAATTTTCTACTCATTGGGATATTACAAATATATTATTTTTATTTATAACAATGAACCCAATGCTCAATTTATTCGAAATTATCAAATCAAACCTTGGTAATGACACCTACAAATTTTATTCTTTCACTTACAATGTTGAAACTGTTTATCCATCTTAATTTGATTAATTTTTAGTAGAAATTGTTTCGTAACTAAACACTATTTTCTAATTGATAAGCCTTCAAAGTTGTCGTCTAACCATAAAAGTATATAATTCAGTAGATTGATAGAAGAATATCTTTGTAAATAAATAATAGGTGCTTTAACAAATAGCTGCCTACTTTAGAAGAGATCTTGTTCAAGTAAGTCGATAAAAAGGTGTATCATACAAAAATATACACACTGTGTGAGTAATAAATCTGTTAATATTCTCACTTACCAAATTAATAACACGTCGGACAAATAATCGTAATCGAAGTCTCATACTATCACATATTTGTTCTTCATGATCTTCTAAATTAATTCGTCCAATTTCACCGAGTAAACTGATTAATTTTTGTAATCGTTTACTGTCACGAGATCCCGGAAAAGTCATACATGCTAGAACTATTCCGTCGCCAAGTGTTGAACGATTTGAAGATATCTGAGTAGGTATATTCTTTGTAATGATGGATCGTGAAGAAGACTGCACCTTCGGTAAATATTACAGAAAAATTGAAACTATTAAGATGATGATAATGATGAGAGAAAAAAAGACTTCAACCTATCAGAAAGATATCAATTTTAAATTCGCGAAGTTAAATGACTTAATTATAATGATTCGACCATTTCTTTATGACGACTAGAAATAAAAAAAGCATTTACTGTTGTATAGTAATAAATAATCTAGAATTATTCATTTATGAATTGAAGAAAAAAGATTAACTATACTATTTTGTGTATGAATAATAGCTTCAATAACTAATAAATTAACTATTTCTTTATTTATTCAAAAATAAATATTAGTAAATATGTGCGCCATACAAACCAGTGAATTCGTGTGAACTGATATACTTTCCGGGTGCCCAGATACAAATAGTTTCCTTAACGGGCCACTCCCCAAGCCTTTGATCTAGAGGTCAGATTCACAAGGCAACGCTAGGAGATGTGGTCTCACGATAGTCGGTGACCAACAATAGGTTAGTACGCCATTTCTTTCATTCAGGATCCTGGAGTGCATGTGCGCCATTGGTTTGGAATCAGGGTTTCCTAACTCCCCTTGGTGGATCCTCTGTATCCGTCAACCCGGTCCAAGCGTCGAACATTCGCCTTTCATCCTCTCAATTTCGTAAACAACAACCTCACTGAAGAAAGACATTGAGTAGGACATACCTGGTAGTGGCTGTATACGCGTGGACATGCGAGAGCATTTCTAGAAGAAGAGCAGACTCTCTCCACCTTCGACCATACCACAGCATTTGTAGGCTGTGTTGGTAGCCGCAGAGTAACCGCTATCAGTAGTTGAAGGCTTTGAGTGACATGTTTCAGGATCGATCTCAATGCCTCAGAAACATTCACTCTTTGTTTTATCCTAGGTCTTGAGTTCCAGTATCCCTTTCATATATGCATTTTTATTCCTTTTCTCCAATTCCTAGTATTTCTTAATATCATTGGTATTTTAGTTATTTGTAGTCCTTTGGTACTCTTGTTGTTGATTTTGTCTCGTACTGGTTTATTATGGCAATTTAAACCAATGCATATTTGTGTTTTGCTTTATATTGATTACAACTGAGTGACATTCTAAAGTGTATTTTGTAGGTAGAGTAAACAAAATATTAGACTCTTCTAGTTGTTTCTGTTTTTAACCATAAAGTCAATTTGATTGAATAAATTAAAAAACTTAAAGTTCAACAAGTAGTTCATTAAACTGCGAAGAAATTATTTACCAACTTTAACGCATTTCGAGTTACACGGGAATCACTGAAATGAACTTGACTTAAGAACTGTTGAGTAATGAGTGGTAGGATAGAGAGATTCTATGTGCTTTATAGTTTATTTCGTAAGGCTTTGGTGATAACTTTGCCGGTGATAAATTTCTCAATTCAAAAGATTTGCTACTATTTATGTGAAATTAAAAGCATCAGCAGTTCCTACTTAACTCTACTCCAACCCTTTTATTTGATTGTAAGCAGTCAAAATACAACGTATGAAGTTCGTACTAAAGTTGTAAAAGGCGAAAGATTTATTCGCAAATGAGGAGACACCAGAGCCCCCAAATGCCCTGGTACGGCCGAGAGTGGGGGGAGTCAACTCTCCCTCTCGCAATGCTCTCACATTGCCACGTGCATACAACCACTATCAGGGAAGTCCTACTCACTGCTTTCCTGTGGTGTGGGTGTTGTTTACGAAATTGGTCGTATGCACGTGGCCACATGAGAGCATTACTAGAGAGAAAGTGAATCACCATAATATCATGAGCAATTTTATTAGATCTAATTTTCACTCTATTAATCATTTTATTAAATATCAACCGGTCAATAAAATGCGATTGTAATGTCAGAATAGAATGAATAAAATATTTAATCAACAACCAAGTTAACCGACCGTAATAACACAAATATAAATTAGTGGAGGCCACTTCATATCAAAAACTTTTTACCAAGTTATATAATGTCACAAATTTTAATTTATACTCGTTGCGATATCCAAGTGAACAGCTGATATTCAAAGCTTTCAGCTATCAACCCACCGAAAAGTATAGATGAGCATTGGCTGCACTTGCATGACGCCATGAAAATGGCGAGTAAAGTCGCTATCCTCTTCACGAAACGTCCCACTTATAAGCACTGGATTTCTACAGGCTGCTTACAACTCCTTGAAGCACGTTGGTCTACTCTGACCAACTGCACGTTTGACCATGGACGAAGACTATTATGTAATAAAACTATGCACACCTTGCTTAAGGATAGAGAAGTCAGAGCGTGACAATGGGTTGGAAGCAGTAGCTGCCGGAAGCTCTCCCAACGCACACAAGTCACTGGAAGCAAGAAGTCTGGTGTGAGTGAAATAATCTGTGAAAATGACGGGATGCCAATCAGTAAAATTTACCGACGTCTTGGACGTAGGACAGTTCAACTGGTCTGCTACATCGGTAACATCGGTCAGATTGTCCTGCTCTTCATGGCCTGTGACGACTGGTCCACCTAACGAGACTGCAGTCCTCAAGGAACTTCAACTCTTGAAGCTCCACAAATCACTAGGCCCAGATGGCTTACCTGCGACCCTTTTTAGAGATAGTGGCAACCTTCTCGTTAGGAACCGACTAAGTTGTTTATAAACGTCTGGTTCCAACCTCGTGGAATGAATCGATAGTTGTCCCTATCTTTGAAAAAGGTTCACATCATCCATGGAACAATTATCGGGGAATAAGTCTACTTCCCATCGCGTTCAAACTATTGGCTTCCGTCATACTTCGTAGATTGTTCGAAACCCCAGAAAGATTAACTCGCGAGGAACAGACTGGGTTTTTTTTTGGCCGAGGATGTATTGATCATATCTTCACCCTCTACCAAATGTTAGAACACCGCCTTCGATTTATTGGACAGGACTGTTCTCTGGGATTGTCTATTGAAGAAGGGTGTACCTGATAAGTTTATTAACATCCTGAAAGCCCTATATACCAACACTACAGGGAGAGTGAGGACATACATCCACCTCTCTCCATCGTTACATTCAAGCCGTGGGGTTAGACAGGGTTTTCCAATCTCACCATTCCTCAACTTTGCTATCGATGACGTTCTGAAAACAGCTCTGATGGATGTAGGTAATGGTAGTGTGGATCTGTTGCCTGGAAAAACTTTTCGATCTTGCGTATGCGGATGATATTGTCTTACTTTGCAATGATATCTAAGCCATGTGGTCCGCACTTAGTCGGTTGCCAATCAGTATTCGTAGGTATGGGATGTGTCTTGTACCTTCTACGTACGAAATACTTTTGCAAGACTGGCACGCACCTGAACTTGCACTCACCCTGAATAGTGAGCGGATAGAAGTATTCGAGAAGTCCGTGTATCTGTCTAGCAGCGTAAGTGCTGTCGGTGGCGTGAGTGATGAGATCAATTAAGGAATAATGAACGCCAGATAGGCTCATGCAAACCTGGGCAATCTTCAAAGCCTTTGTGATGTTAGCCCGGTTGTTAAAAGTCAGACCTACAACGCGTTGGTGAGAGCAGCTTTGCTTTATGCTTGCGAAACCCAGCCTTCCCAAGTTGAAAATGTTAGGAGATCATCGTTGTTTCCGAAGGCTTGATGACATCCCCCCGCTATTATTAATAAATCGCATTCATTCACTAATTTCTGCTCATTGTTCCTCTTTTCATTATACTCACCCTCCATTCTCTATCTCTTCAGAACCCAATTGTGTGGCGTTCATGTATTGGGTGCCCCCTTGTACAAAAGTTTGTGTTCACACAAATAAATAAACTTGTTATGTAACAAGCGATATTGTTTGAGTAACAGCTCATATATAAAGAAATAAAATATGTATAACACCGCCTGTAGCACTTCTACGGACAGAGTTGGATGGAGAATATATATATATATATATATATATATATATATGCAGCCTGTTGTGATTGGATTAGTATTTTCTTCATTCCTCAGCTGGTTACTCAGAGCATCTTCATCTGCTAAGGAATTTAAAACAGTCGTGGAAAGAAACAAAAGTAAATTTGCCAGAATAACTACTATTTGTTGTTAAATGGGTGGACGTGTTTGTGTTCAAATGTCCAGGGGTACTGTTTACATTTATCCTGTTCAAGATCTACTAAGTACGTACAAAACTTTATTTTGTTAAATACTCGAATTATTTTAAAAATAGGTTTTGTAAAATAATTTCAAAATTTATTGTAAAGAAAGTTTTTTTTCGTTAATAAATAATGTTCTCATCTTATGAACCTTTGAAAATTACCCAATACATGATAAATGTTTCGTCGTCAAGGTTGTAGTTGTTCAGAATTAGAGAAATAGAGATAAACAGTATAACTTACCAAAGTTTTTTTTACACCGTCGTTGCATTCATCATTGACAGATGATCTGAAGTCAGATAAGAATCGATTAACTATTACATCATCCACATAGCGTTCTTGCAGAGTCGTATTGAGCACTTTCAATAATGGATTAACCTAACAATAAAATAACAATAATAAAATTTCTTGCTATTCGTCTGTCGACCAAAAGATGAGTATACTGTGCAGTAGTATGTTATGATCTACTTTAAGGCTGTGAAGGGTGACCTTTGAAAATAGAGGATATTCATAAATGGCTAGTATTTGATTGTAGATGTTTTTGAACTATTGTTTGAGTACGTTAAGACTATTAGCTTCAATAATACTTCGATGCCTAACTAAATCTCGTGAGGAGCAGACTAGAGAAAACCAGGCTGTTTTTCGACCTGGACGTGGTTGTATAGACCAGATATTCACACTACGTCAGGTCCTAGAACATAGACACACATTCAGACGCCCCACAATGGTAGTATTTCTCGACCTTAAGGCAGAATTCGACTCTGTTGATCGTGAGGTTCGGATCATAGTTCATTTATTTCTCTAGACATCCTCATAATTTTCGATTCCCACTAAGAAGTATGACTCTGAAGTATTTGATCAAATGGATTTTTTATACTTTCTTGAGGAATCGTATCACCTTAAGGATAACACATGAATGTAAATCAACTGTAGACATATTTTAAGTTTTAGGACATTGAACAATAGTTATTATCACTGCTCACCTTATTTTTTCTCCATAATATACAAAAAACTGAACGATAAATTGATAACAGAGTTTCTGAAAGATTTTTTACACACCATAGGTGAATGCTGTGACATTTTTCTATGTGCTAATAAAATTAAAAGAACACAATATCTTTTTAAGACAAGAAATAAAATTTGCTGAGAAAAAGTTGAAAATTTAGCTATTTGTGAAGATGAGGTATTAAACATATTACTGATTATCAATTGATATTAATGCCAACAATCCGTATGAATGGGATTTTAAATGCAAAAGAGATGCATGTATAAGACTAACGGTTCTCTCTAAATGAGGAATATGTATTTATCCAATCAGATTCACGGACAACTAGGATCTAGTGGTCTCTTGATTGGTCAAAAGTCAGTTTCACATAGATTGAGAAAAAGGTCAGTTACGGTGATTACTAATGAGTTAGTGTAGAAGGTAACAAACATTTGCACGATAACAATATGTGGCATACAGGTGTGAAAGGATTTAGTACCGCTTAAATTTATTCAATAACAAAAATCTACAGAGCGTTCTCGTATTTAGTGACATTTTGTAGCACTAACATATTAACATCAGGACTAAGCGACCCAATCAATTCACAGATGGTATCTAGCTTCTTTTACTGAAATCCACACCGTGGCACTGCTAATTATTTTCAGAAATTTAGAGCAGACAAATCATAGTGATTAAAGCTTGTATACAAACTTCCACGATAAAACTGCTACTGAGGCTAACAATTGAGTATTTTTTTCTAAAATACTCCCACAACCTTGTTGTTGTTGTTATAAAAAATAAGACGATTTTTTAAGTAAATGACATTTTTGTCCGGACAAATAAGTATTATCCCTGCAAGATTTATATCGTAAAGTTACGTTTTATTCAAAAAACAAGATTTCAATAACTGTTTCGTATGACTAACGGCAAAAAGTACACTTAGGTTCATTTATTTATTTAAACACATTAACATAGGTACAAGAAGGCACCGAATAGAGTGAAAATTAGATTTAATAAAATTGCTCATGATATTATGGTGATTCACTTTCTCTCTAGTAATGCTCTCATGTGGCCACGTGCATACGACCAATTTCGTAAACAACACCCACACCACAGGAAAGCAGTGAGTAGGACTTCCCTGATAGTGGTTGTATGCACGTGGCAATGTGAGAGCATTGCGAGAGGGAGAGTTGACTCCCCCCACTCTCGGCCGTACCAGGGCATTTGGGGGCTCTGGTGTCTCCTCATTTGCGAATAAATCTTTCGCCTTTTACAACTTTAGTACGAACTTCATACGTTGTATTTTGACTGCTTACAATCAAATAAAAGGGTTGGAGTAGAGTTAAGTAGGAACTGCTGATGCTTTTAATTTCACATAAATAGTAGCAAATCTTTTGAATTGAGAAATTTATCACCGGCAAAGTTATCACCAAAGCCTTACGAAATAAACTATAAAGCACATAGAATCTCTCTATCCTACCACTCATTACTCAACAGTTCTTAAGTCAAGTTCATTTCAGTGATTCCCGTGTAACTCGAAATGCGTTAAAGTTGGTAAATAATTTCTTCGCAGTTTAATGAACTACTTGTTGAACTTTAAGTTTTTTAATTTATTCAATCAAATTGACTTTATGGTTAAAAACAGAAACAACTAGAAGAGTCTAATATTTTGTTTACTCTACCTACAAAATACACTTTAGAATGTCACTCAGTTGTAATCAATATAAAGCAAAACACAAATATGCATTGGTTTAAATTGCCATAATAAACCAGTACGAGACAAAATCAACAACAAGAGTACCAAAGGACTACAAATAACTAAAATACCAATGATATTAAGAAATACTAGGAATTGGAGAAAAGGAATAAAAATGCATATATGAAAGGGATACTGGAACTCAAGACCTAGGATAAAACAAAGAGTGAATGTTTCTGAGGCATTGAGATCGATCCTGAAACATGTCACTCAAAGCCTTCAACTACTGATAGCGGTTACTCTGCGGCTACCAACACAGCCTACAAATGCTGTGGTATGGTCGAAGGTGGAGAGAGTCTGCTCTTCTTCTAGAAATGCTCTCGCATGTCCACGCGTATACAGCCACTACCAGGTATGTCCTACTCAATGTCTTTCTTCAGTGAGGTTGTTGTTTACGAAATTGAGAGGATGAAAGGCGAATGTTCGACGCTTGGACCGGGTTGACGGATACAGAGGATCCACCAAGGGGAGTTAGGAAACCCTGATTCCAAACCAATGGCGCACATGCACTCCAGGATCCTGAATGAAAGAAATGGCGTACTAACCTATTGTTGGTCACCGACTATCGTGAGACCACATCTCCTAGCGTTGCCTTGTGAATCTGACCTCTAGATCAAAGGCTTGGGGAGTGGCCCGTTAAGGAAACTATTTGTATCTGGGCACCCGGAAAGTATATCAGTTCACACGAATCCACTGGTTTATATGGCGCATATCTATTTTGGTGCCCTTTGTACCAATGTGGATGTGTCTGGACAAGTAATGAAGTCCACAGCTCCTCACTACTATTCAAACTAACACTCGATGTTTTCATGCACCTGTCTTGTCATCTTTATCCGATTTTCAGGAAACTTTTAAAAATCAACATATGATACATACACCATTGCGCATTCGTATAAAAAATGGCCTAGTGTAAGTAACAGTCTGTATCAAGTTTGCAAGATTCATAAACAACTACATTGCTTATACTTTGTATTCAGATAACTTGTCACAGAAACCCAGTAGGGTAAGTGGTGTAACATAGCCATCAGAGGTGTTATAGTCTAATTACCAATTCTGTGACAATAAAAATACATCAAAATTTCATTGCCAAGGGACCTTAACCATCAAGAATTTTAGGTTTAATGAATATATATATGCATAACAGTAGTTGCAATGAGAGGCATTTAAAATTTCATAAGTAATCGTACCCAAAAAAGGTCAGCGAATATTCTTCTCAGAGTATTAGCAGCACGATGAAGACTAAGTTCCTTGTATACATTTAGGCGTTTAATATCATGAAACTGAAATTAATAAAGCAAATGACATAATAAATGCGAACTTGAGAGCAGTAAAAGTATTCATTTCTCAAAACTTTTGTCAGAGATGATAAAATCTGATTCAAATGCCTTTTTTCACACAAAACCCACGTATGGTTATCATCTATAACGTTTTTGAGCAATAAGAATTATCAACTAAGGCAACCTTTGGGTTGTTTTGTAGGAAACCTTTGACATAACTCAGGCACAGACGAACAATTAGTGAATGATAGATTTTGATTAACTCTTTCCTCTTCAAATGAACATCTAGTAGCAGGCCCACCAACATCTAAGCAACTTTCTTCTACTTCAATACTATCAAGATTTAAAAAGAGAATAGCAATAAGTTACTTTGAATGGTAAGGTGACAAGTTGAATATTTCGTTATCACTATCACAATTACTTTTACTTGAAGATGTGTAACAATGGTCCACTTCAATTAAAGATCGAACTTTATCAAGCTGAGAAAAATCCATAGCTAATCATTAGTTGAGTGTACGGTATGATCAAAAGTTGTTAAATATCTGGAAAAGTAAAAACAAATAAGAACTGGGAGTTTAAGAAGTTGATACAAACTGTACATATATAAACACTTCAACATTAGTTGTAGTACATACTTTTGCCCCCAAATGCCCCGGTACGGCTGAGGGTGGGGACAGTCAGCTCTTCCTCTCGAAATCAGTCGGTAAGTCAGCTACAACGTAGGACTAGGCAGATATATGCATCGGTCCAAGTTGCCACACCTTATTAGCACAACAAGATGAACACCGAATGCATAGTAGTTAATTCAATGGTGGTAATATATAAAAGAAGGATTGCATATAAGGATATAGCACAGGAAGAAAGAATTGGTTGGTAGAAAAATATAAAGCAATTTTAATGTCATAGTTTAAGGGAAAACAAAGAGTGTATACACCTACTCTACTGTGATCGATTCTGAGCCATGTCACTCCGACCATTGATTACGATGGTTACGCGGACCCCAACTACGTGGTCTACATCTACCAACATGGATCAGACTAATAGTTAGTGACTTCAAGCACTGATACCAGGTTTTGGTTTGTCCACCCCCTAACTCTCTACCAATCATCGCCAACACTAATCAGCATTGCACGTAGTGGTAATTAGTGTTCAGGCATACGTGACACGTGACCCAACCACCTCAGTCGATGAAGATTCACAACCTCATCAACTGATTTACCATCATTCCCCAATACCCTAACTCTAACCTCACTATTACTTACCCAGCGATCCCAGCAGATACGAGCGATATTTATAAGACATCGTCGATCAAATGCAAGCAACTTGCGAGTATCTTCTACTCTTAGTGGCCACGTTTCGCAGCCATAAAGTAGAACAGAACGAACTACTACACAGTATATTCGTCCCTCAATTAATAAACGGATATCTCGCCTTCGCAATAGGTGAAGCAAGTCGGAAAAAGTCAAACGAGCGTTCTGAATCTGTGTTGAGATTTCGTCAGACATCAACCCATTAGGGCTGATCAGACTACTTCACTCCCTATCCTTAGTTCAGGTGTTGACGCAGATCAGTCCTGAAATAACTTGCATTTAGAGAGAGAGAAACGCATCCCAAACATCCTGGCACTGTTGCTCAGTGCGGCCAAAAGACTGCATTTTATCAGCGTCTTTATCAAACAAGACTATGTCATCTGGATATTCTAAGTCCATAAGTGAACCACCTGGAAGGAAATCAATGCCCGAAAATTCAGTCGACGAAAACGTTATTTTCAACAGTATGTCTATGATGAAGTTAAACGAAAATAGACATAACTGACAGCCTTGCCGGACACCACTTGAGGTTGCAAAATCAGATGACAGCTGTCATCTGAACTAGTTCGTCATAAGCTCCGACTCGGCCGTTGGTGTTCAAGTAAATAGACTTCAAAAGGTCTATGTACTTCTGAGGTTAAACTTGCAATGACAGACACTGTCATAGAACCTCTCGATCTACGGAGTCAAATGCTGCTTTGAAGTAAAAAAAAAGCCATCATTGTTGGACGCCGATAAGCAAGCCTGTGTTCTAAAACCTGACAAATGTTGAATATGTGGTCACTACAGCCATGACCAGGCCTAAAGCCAGACTGATTTTCTCGTGTTTGCAGTTCATGGGTCTTAGGCACCCAATAATTATTGAGGCTAGGACATTTACGGTACAATTTACTTTGAATGACTAGCCTTGAGGGGACGTCCAAACTTCAATAGCCCGCTTAAGGTATTCTGTTTCCCATCAGTTTCATTTTGGAAAGAACAGAAGGCTTGTTGGCCTGTGTTAGTCCGGGCAATTACGGCCTCTCAGTTGATCCAACTTCCCTTTGAAAGTGTCGTAAGATGGAGCTTCAATCACATGTTGAGTTAATAAGTTCCACTTGTTGATGATTTGATGAGGAAGTCGATAGTCAGCTGGCAAATAATTTGTCCTGGGCTTGTGAACTCTTTTTGAGTGTCCTCGTAAATTCTCTGTTTTAGAAGACAAGAAAAATGAGGACATGTGTAAATTTATCACCAAGTGATTTGAAAACTGTAATCATGTCAACTCTAACTCTTCGATATGACAATGGGAATAGGTTTATTTCAGCCAGTCGAGCATCATACATGAGCTTCGCTATTCCAGAAACCAGCTCAGTTATTGTCCTCTAAACTTTTTCAAAAAGCTCAGTGTCTTTTAAGTAGGGGATAGCTGCTTGTATGCAGCACTCAAGTTTTGGGTCACACGAACACTGTATACAAAGTTAAAAAGTCGGCATGATTAAACGCCTTACGTATTGACCATAGATTTCTAAAACCTTTGACGTATATCGCACTGCGATGTGCAGTAGTTTTGACTAACGATAACTCCCACGTTATTGTGTGTTTGGACAACAGGTAGCTTGTAGAGATAAATAAATCCCCAAAATAAATAGCTCCGTAGGTTTTCGACATTGGATGCTGACCACATGTTTTAGTGGACTCATCTAGCTGAAGATGCTCGGTGGTGTATCCGCACCAGATCACGAGTGGGAACACCGCGCTCAACAAACCCTGCAATCGCTAGCCAGAATAGATCAGACGATCCTCGATATATTGATAGCTTATCAAATATATCTTCAAACCTCTTCGCTTCTGTCTTTTGATTTCACTTGGTAGATGCGCTTCATATTAGGTGTTACTGGTTAAAGTGTTGTCAAACTCCAAATATCTGTGGCATCTTCAAGTTCATTGTTATTCATCATGTATATATCTGCACCTTGATGACCAATATACATCACAAAACACTTGGAAATATTTATCGGCAACTACCTAGTTTGAGATCATTTGGACAATTTCTCTAGGCCATTTTGAAGTTCTAAGCTATCACCCTTACTTTGTATAGCTCTCCATATCTTGACATCGTCAACATATAGCAAGACCGACCATGACAGAGACGAAGAATATCATTTACGTACAAGAGGAATAACACTGGCCCCAAAACTGTATTCTGAGGCACTCTTTTAAGCACAGTTTCCCAGCTAGACAACTTTGGGTTCGCCCGTACTGTTTGTTGACGCCCAACTGAGAAGTCTTTTATCCACATTATTAACTTGCCTACAACCCCGATATTTCTTAGCTTATATAACGGTCGATTGTGATGGAATTTTGTCAAAAGCCTGGCTGAAGTCCATGTAGGCTACGTCTATAGGTATGTAGTGGCATTGGACCATAACCACACAATCCTCAAAGCTGAATACGAGATTACTCAGAAAATAGATATTCAATATTTAACGCGAAGAAATACCTAACGATGGAGAAGGCGCGACTAATGAATTGAATAGACTAGAGTTGATCGAACGGCGTGGCTCGGCCATGCAGGCGTGGTCTCTGCTGAATGTTACCTTATATCTTCTTTTCATATTAAATATATTGTTCTTTCTCTGGCCTAACCTTGTTCTACATCATGTATTGGTAATTGATACGATACAGTGAGTTGGTGTAGTCGATGGTGTGACTTCCACGTAAGATCTTATAGATTAGGCAGTCATATCATGACAAATCTACAAATTTAGGATTAGGTCTATTATTAGAGCAGTACTAATATCATAGTAGACCATAAATTCTACAGGTATATTAATTGTCCTGTGTTAATCATTTCACTAAGTATTTCGTCGAATATTTTCGTTTTTAAAGTTTCCGTTAAATATTACAATGCAGATACATTGGACAGAGCGTTCTAGTTGTTGACCACTCTGTGACAAAATTGTATTCCTACTGAAGATTTTCAGTCACAGTTTTGAAACTTCTGTAATAGCCACAAGAATGATCATTTCTAGGAGTTCCAAAAACAAGTGATGTAGACAAATTAATCGTCATTTATCAAGGGTTGTTCTTATGTCAGTCGACTTTTTTGAAGTCACTTATCTTCAAAAATAGTATAACGATCTTTCAGCATGACATATCTTTGACAAAACCACGGGTCAAAGGAAAACGTCATCGTAGGGAATCTATGCTTTGCGACACATCCACTGGAATATAATGTCCAAAATTCCCAAAAATTACTAATTCTGTGTCATCATTGCTTTGCGTTTAAAAGCCTAATCTGGAGCTTTGAGTATCAAACGAACCAGGGATAGAATGGTTTTCCTGTCGCGGTATGAAAAAAGACGTAACAGAGTAGTCAATTTAATAATTATAATAATAATAATGATTTATTCTCAAATAACAGTTTGTTACATGAGGCATGCCAGTTTACAGGCAAGATCAAATTGATACAAATGATACAATATACACTGTAATAAATTACATAGCTGGGTTGATAATTTATAAGATATGAATGTAGATGGTTTGAATCAGTACCACAGTTGGCGCGCTTCATGAAAGTTGCGTTGCGAATGTGCGACTGATGGTTAAGGATAGGTCCATTGAAGGTATGAGCTTTTAGAAATCGCAACCTTATGTCCCTTTGGGATATCCAAGGCTTTAAGGATGGTGCAGGATGAAGTCACCAGTTCCATATCTCAAGGGGGCTGAAGAGGGAGCAAGTAAAAGAAAACACGAGAGGCAGAGTAGCCAATATTCATGAAGGAATGTTTGAGGTATGATTACTCAGTTTAATTTTCCTTTATTAAGGTATTTGTTAAGAAAGAGCATTTTAATAGGTTAAGGAAAATAAGTGTTAACAAGGTGTGAGTGTACATACAACTGATAAATTGAGGCGATTCAGAAAGGAGCTGAGAGTATGGGATTATGTGTGGTTATAAAATAAAATATAGTACTAGAAACAGTATTGTGATGTGCGATTGGCTATCTTCCTTTTTTATCGAAGCTATTAGATCCCCTTTCATTTTTTTGTACTATTTTTTTCAGATATCATAGGGTCTTGAGTAGGCTTAGTATATTAGCGAATTGTCTAGTTTACTTGTAATAAGATTACTGAGTCGAAAGTAAAACCAATTCAATATTCGTAACACGATTTAATGAGATATTTTGCATGATAAATCTGCATTAAAACCTTAAGTTCGTGACATCTCACTAATCTATAAGGAGCCGTAATTAAACAAAATGTTCTGCCCTACTGACATTGGTGGATTGAAGTTATCTCCCCACCATCATGTTTGCTGGTCAGTAACGTCACCCTCCCTCCTTTTGTTATGTTAGGCTCTCTTACGTTTGTGGTAAATATGAATACTTTTTTAATCAAAGTACATGGTTGGAATACACTGTCTCTACTAGGTCTATGTTACAAGCAAATCAGATAGTTGAAAAGTCTATTTTATGTGTTAGATGTCCACATAGTATATCACACTGCTAGGAAAATAACTAATGGTTTAAAGAGGTAGAGACTAATAGCAAATCAAAGGATATGAGAGGGTATAAAATTGTAGGGAAAAAAAGATTTCAGGGTAAGACAAATAAAACATTGAGAAACTCATAAGACTTTGTGGACAAATTTTGAGCTTTGTATGATCTGCCTTAGTAGATCAGCATCCATAAAACTGAGCTATCTGTATTTAACGTGTAGACATTTGGGAACTGAAAGCTAGGGTTAGGAGCATAAGGCCACGATTAATAAACAATGAATAATAGGAAACGATAAGCCATATATTCTGTGATTTGGTTATATTCATATTAGTAACAGTTGAACTTGTTACAATTTTGTTCTTTTTAGATACTTGGCAGTCCGAAATAATGTGCCTCATTGGTGGGCGGGAGTTCAAGGAAGTTTTGAAGGTCTTTGGAATCTAGAAATAGTGTTATTAAGTTTCTGAATCTGGTAAACGTATCACAGTTACGGATAGGCATTGGCAGCCTGTTCCACAATAAACTATACTGCACTGTAAAAAACTTACAACGCATTTGTTTTTGGTGTTTTACGGTAAGTAGTGTATATGCGTTGTTTCTAAGTCTATAGGCTGGGTCGTGGGTGATAGTCGGGCAGGAGGTTAGAAAGGAGAGCCCATATATCGCTTTGTAGAGAAATATTAAATTGTTCTTTAGCCTACGGTGCCATAAAGGTTCTAAAGAGAGGTGCCTACATCTGTCTGTGTAATCGAGATTCGAATTACATTCTAGTAGTTGACGTGTGAAACGTCTTTGAACATCTTCTACTCTTATCTTGTCTGTGATATTCATATTAGAGAAGGCAAAAGAGCAGTATTCAAGGGAGGGTCGTACACATATTTTGTAGAGAGTAAGTTTACCCTCAGTTGTGAAAACGTTTTTCATTATAAAACCAATTAGCCGTCGAGATTTAGAAATAATAGAGGAGACACGTTCTTCAAAGTTCAGGCTTCCCGTGTAATTAATTCCTAAATCGTGTACTGATTCGAGAGTTTGGACTCTACTTTCATTTAAGTGAAGTTCCGGTTTATAGGGATGCTTTCCAAAGTGTATCATCCCGCACTTGTTGAGGTTAAATGGTAATTGCCATTTTTCACTCCATATAGTTAAGTTATTGAGGTCCTTTTGGATCTGGGATACACTTTCGCTTAGTGTCTCAGGCTTATAGCTGTATACTATTTTGAGATCATCAGCATATAAGTATGGTTTCCCAAATTCTATGGTGTCACATATATTGTTTATATACATAAGAAACAAAAGTGGACCTAGTACGCTTCCCTGGATGACTCCACTGGTGATTGGTCTAAGGGACGAGAGACAGTCATTGTACTTTACCATCTGTTTACGTTCTGTTAAGAACAAAGCAAACCATGAGTACAGTGAGTTTTTTATTCCGAAGGACTTTAGTTTGACGAGTAGCCTTTTGTGTGGGACCTTATCAAAGGCTTTCTTAAAGTCTAGGAATAGGACTGATACAAGGAGTCCGCTGTCTCGTTTCAGAGTTATATCATTCAGGTAGTCTACTAGGCATGTATCGCATGATCTAGACCTAAGAAATCCATGCTGGGAGGTCGAGATGAGATTATTAGTTAGTAGATGTTGGACTACA